CTGGAACTCACTGGCCAGCTAGCCAGACCTAATCAAGTACCAGGACCATGGGAGATCTTATCTCAAAAAACCAAAGTGGATGGCACCTGAAAAAAGATGCCCAAGGTTGATTTTGGCTGCAACATACACAGACACACACATGAACACACACAGAGAAAAAAAACTGGGATATGGTGTGTGATGTTTAGTGTTAGCTGCCAACCTGACAGGATCTAGAATCAAGCGAGAGATGGGAAGCTTGTGTGTGGTGATTATCTTGATTGTGTTAAGTGAGTTGGAAAGGCCCACATTGGGCGGCACCACTCCTTGTTCGGGATCTAGACTGTATAAATGGAGAACGGGAGCTGAGCACCCGCATGCACTTGCCGTTCTCATCTCTGACTTGGACGGGGTGGAACCGGCTGCTCCAAGCTCCTTCTCCTCTGACTTCCCAGCCACAGTGAAAGGTGCCTTGAGCTGTGAGCTGAAATAAACCCTTTATCCCTTAAGTTGATTTGCCAGAGGACTTTTATCACAACAATAGGAAAAGAAACTAAGACATGACGGCAAGTCCCAGCTACTCAGGATACACCCAAGTAGTCAGGGGGACTCCTTAAGCTCAGGAGTTCAATGCCAACCTAGGTAACAAAGGAAGAGCTCCATCTTAGAGCAAAAACAATAAATGAGAACAATTTTAAGAACACATCTACACTGTGTCGTGGGGAGAGAGGTCCTCTGTGGCCAACCTTGTGAAGTGTAAGCCCAGAGGAAAACAAACCCACCTTCAGGCATGGTCCGCGCACTGACATAAGCAGCCACGCTGCACCTCTCATCTGGGGCGTCTTGGTTGCATGCCTGCAGCTCAATGCGGTAGCCAGTGAAGTGTCTCAGGCCAGAGATGACAAGAGACTCCTTGTTCACCACTTTCTCAAACGGCCTGTGCTCCTCCTGACTCGTGGGCACGATGGTGGACGAAATGTTGGGGAAATCTGGAAGCGTAGGCACGGTGGCCGTCACATTCCCCACCTCCTCAAGGGATCTCCGCTTTCGAGATGGCCTGTGGGAAGAGAGCATGTGTGGGGGTCATGACATCACCATCTTAAAATAAAATGATACTGGAGAGAGCGATGCTTAATTAATTAGAGAGAAAGAGACTAGGGTGGAGGAGAGGTGCAGGGGAGCAGATTAATTTCCACATAGACGCCCCTGTCAGAGACACTGACTAGGAAGGCACAGCGACTCTGAGTGTTCTTGGCTCCAGGGCCACCCCCAAGTCTCCTCAACATGCTTGATTGGAGATTTCCAGTTTTCTGAAGAATGGCAGAGTTACTAAGATTTGGAAAGAATGTGAGAGTGTAGCTGTTTGTGTGATGTTTGTGTGTGCATATGCACGTGTATGTTCACATGTGTGCAGCTTCACAAGGAGGCCAGGGGACAACCTCGAGGGTTGTTCCTCAAGTGCTGGTCACCTTTTGTTTTTCTTTAAAGCAGTGTCTCTCATTGGCCTGGAACTCACTGAGCAGGCCAGCTTGACTGTCACCAAGTCCCCGGGAACCACCTAGCTTGGCTTCCCCACACTGGGAAACATGACTCGCCAAGCTGGGCTTTTTTTTTTTTTTTTTTTTTTAAATTTTATTTTGGGGTCTGTTTTTATTTTTAAGCATTTGTATATGTGTGTGGGTATATGCATGTAAGTGCAGACACCCTGAGTCCAGGAGAGGTCGTCAGATCCCCTAGAGCGGGAGTTACAGGCATGCATGAGGCACTTGGTGTGGGTGCTGGAAACTGAACTCAGGTCCTCTGCAAGAGCAATAAGCACTTCTAACCACTGTGCCACCTCTCCAGCCTCCAGGCTTTTTTTTACTCAATTCCTCACTCTTGCAAGGCAAGCATTTCACTAACTGACCCCAGGCCCCCACACTGGCAGTCAAGCATGCACTGTACGTAGAGGACACTGTGGAACTTAAGAGATAAAGCGTCTATTCTTGGTAATAAAATTTTATCACTGGGGTTAGAGCAAGAAAAAGAAATAACCATCCAGTGGGCAGATGCCCCCTACACATTGAAAATAAACGCTGAGAGATGACACACTAAAAACTGCAGAAAGGAAGTATATGAGGAAAACGTAAATTCTTCATAACCCCCATGGCCTCCTGCTCCCTCTGCACAATTACTATACGCCACGGGAGTGTGACGATGATCCTGTCAGCTGCATACTACACCTGTTAGATGGGAAACAACCCTAAAACCTGTGGTTAAGAGAGCTTCTTGAACTTCCAGAGGACCTGAGTTAGTTTCCCAGAACCCAGATCAGGCTGCTCACAAGAGCCTCATGGGTCTCACACCCTCCTCTGGCCTCTGCAGGCACCTGCACACACATGGCATATGCTCACACGGACACACAGAAATAAAAAATAAATTCTTTTAAAAAGTGTCCAGAAGAACAAGATTTCTGTTTTGGTTTGGCTTTTGTCTTTGCTTAACATTAAGGTTTTCTCTTCTCAACTACAAATGGGGTGTGTGCTCCTTTATAGTGTGTGTGTGTGTGTGTGTGTACACATATATACGTAGTTTTCTGAGAATTCCATGAGTACTGTATTTATATCATTTCCATCAGCTCCTCCCATGTCACCCACTCCCTCAAGACCTTTCATATTATATTATATATGAAATATTATATATACACACATATATATAACCTATGTCAATTATTATTGACACATACATAGATTATATAACTGTGCATGTATATGTATAAACACACATATCCTTTTTTTGAGAAACTGTCAGCACTGGATTTATTTCATAAAGAAACTTAGCACACGCTGCTGTTTTTCTTGATCAGAAGCTGTAAGGGGCTTTCTTAATTCCAGTTGCTTAGATGCACATATCTCCCCACTTCTCAATTCCAAACCTTTCTAAGTAGCTGAAACTTTTGAAGAAATTGTTTCTGCAGATCAGAAGCAAGTGTCCTTACTGCTCTGTGGAATGGTTCCCACCCACAGGATGATGAAGCATTCGGGGCTGCAGGGCCATTTTTCATACGAGTAGAGCTTCTTCTTAGACTGTTCAAGGTCACACAGCAAGAGGCAAAATCATGACAGAAGCCAAGGAATACTCAGTTCCAAGGCTTCTAAAGTTCCATTTCTGTTGTCTGCTTCTGTGCCGGTGTATGTGAGAGTGTTACACTAGTGTCTCAAGCACAATCTCCACATTATCACTAGTGATGCAGGGGTGAATATTTTTTCCATGCTTCTTCGTACTCATCCCTGATCGCTTCCTTTATACAAAATGCTCTTTAAAAATTACAAAAAAAAAGCATGGCCTAATACGTGAAATTTGCTCAGCAGGAACTTGTGTATCCCAGGCTGGCCTTGAATTTCCTACTTAGCCAAGGATGACTTTGCACTTGGGATCCTCCAGTCTCTGTCTGCTGAGTGCTAGGATTACGGGAGGGCTCCACAATACCTTGTGTATACAGTTCTGGGGTCGAACCTAGGGCTTTGTGTATGCTGAGAAAGCATTTTACAAAATGAAACTACACTCTCCACTCTATCCTTACATTATTTATATACAAAGTATATATTATATTTCTATTAGCAATGATGAGAATCTCAATTTATCTCTGCCTTCACTACTTCTTACCTTGGAAAGAAATGACAGTCTGTCAAGAAAATAATGACACCACATTTTTTCCATGAAAAACATAGTCTGTAAACACATATCTATGGAGTTCATTTAGTGTTGCTCATAGGTACTTGTACGTAGGGCTGACAATCTGGGACTGCATAACCTATGGGGGGCTCATCCTGAAAAGCCATCTCTCTGGCCCCAGCATATGCCCTTGCCGAAAATTTATTGGCTCCAAAATATCAGTTAATGCATGATCTGTCTTTCACTTAACTATTTTCCATTTTTCAGATAAGGGTATCCCCTAGGTACAACTCAATGATACAGTATATGCTTAGCTTGCATGAGACATTAAGTTTGATCCAAAAAGAAAAAAAAAATTCCTATCCTTTTTTCACTATAGTTTTGATTATTGTGTATCTTACTATTTCCCAAAGTAGATCCCCCAAGAAACTATTGCCAGGTTGAGAGGACTCTGACGCTCTAGAAACTTAGTGTGTCTAACAGTACTGCAAACTGGACATGATATTGACCCATAGCCTCACCTACCACCAGTGACACTGGACTTTGGAATAACATTAGCAACTGAGGGTTAAAAGTTGGATTTTGGTTTTTTCCATATTTTTCAACCTGAGAGATTACAAATATGGAGCCAGATAGTGGTGTGCTCAGTCCTCACTAGGACATTTATACTTTCCCCATAAAGGCCCAGGGAACATCACAGAAGAGGAGATGTAGCCCAGGCTAGCCTCAAACTCCTAGCAATCCTTCTATCTCGCATCTCACTTAAGACACTTGGATCCAAAGCCACAAAGTCAAGTCTAGGGATATTATCCTTTTATTCTTCATTTTGTACAATGGCCTTCTTAAGTGAAAAGGGAAACAACTTCTTTATTAAGCCTCAGTTAGATCCATTTCAGTGGCACTGAGACAATTTCTGTACAGTTACAAATGAACCTGACCAAAAATAACCAGATACTCACAACTAACACTGGGGGATTCACATCTGCACACCTGAACACAATATGGACTCATCAAACATACCAATAGGAAGGGGATGTATTTTCTTTTATTAAAGATTTTGTTTTATTTTAATGTTTATTGTTATGATTATTATTTTATGTATTTGGCTATTTTTCATTTGCAACCAGTACTCTTACACACTGAGCCATCTCTCCAAACCCTGAAGTTTTTAAAATTGAAGATCTATAGCAACTTTGCTTTGAGCAAGCCTACAAGCTGCTTGTTGGCATTTTCTAAAAGGAAAAGGTTTTGTTTTTTATTCTTTTTTGTAGTGTTGGGAATTAAATTTTACTTTTGCCGCGCTGGATACAGAGCCTTTACTCTGTTGCATTCACTCTTTTGTTTTTTCAGCACTGTGGGCTCAGTCATTCATCTACTTTGCATTTCATCTCATTTTTGCAGTGAGAGAGACTAAACCTATTACTTTATGTATTTATTTTGGTTTTTCAAGACAGGGTTTCTCTATGTAGCCCTGACTATCCTAGAACTCGCTCTGTAGACCAGGCTGGCCTCAAACTCAGAGATTCACCTGCCTCTACCTCTCGAGTGCTGGGATTAAAGGTGTGCTCCACCACCATCTGGCTATTTATTGTATGCAGCATTAGATATTGAACTCTTGTTTTTCCTTTCTATTTATTTTATTTTATTTAACTGTTAGGTACTGGAGGTTGAACTCAAGCCTGGCACATGCTGCACAAGCAATCTACCAATGCCCTGAGACCCCGGGCTCAACGAAGTATTTTAAATAAATCTAACAGATAATTAATGGTTTCTAAAAAGATATCTGCAATTGCATACTGACTGCAGTACAGTCTGAACATAACTTTTTAAAGATTTATTTTTATTATTTTAAGGGGAGGACATACATGTGCGTGCAGTGCCCACAGAGGCCAGAAGAAGGCAACAGATCCCCTGGATCTGCAGTTACCGGTGGCTGTGAGTCAACATGGGTGCTGGAAACTGAACCCCAATCCTCTTCAAGGGTATCAAGTGCTCTTAGCCACTGAGCCATCTCTCCAACCCCAACATAATTTTTTTTTTTTTGGTTCTTTTTTCGAGACAGGGTTTCTCTGTGTAGCTTTGCGCCTTTCCTGGAGCTCACTTGGTAGCCCAGGCTGGCCTCGAACTCACAGAGATCCGCCCGGCTCTGCCTCCCGAGTGCTGGGATTAAAGGCGTGCGCCACCACGCCCGGCCATAATTTTTATATGCACTAGAAAACCAAAAATTTTGTGTGACTTACTTAAATACTACACTGACTTGAATGCTTTACCCACAAGATCTCTGAGGTATGCCTGCATTCCAATAGAATACTATCAACGTAAAATAAGGGGCTGGAGAGATGGCTCCGTGGTTAGTAGCACTGACTGCTCCTGCAGAGACAGTTCAGTTCCCAGCATCTACCTGGCAGCTCACAACTGTCCATAACTCCAGTTCCAGAGATCTGATGCCCTCTTCCGGCATCTGCAGGCACCAGGCATGTACAGGGTGCACAGACATCCATGCGGGCAAAATATCCATCCACATTAAAATAAAAATAAGTAAATCCGTAACCATTATATTAAATGTAAAGCCACTGTGTTAAAGAATGACTCCTGATAAAGAATAGCAACTGAGCCCTCTACTCCATCCAGAAACATGACTTCATTGTCCAGTAATCTCACACTAAATCAGTGACTGACCTCAGCCAGAGAATGCCTCCATCACGACTTCGGAAGGCTGAGATGTTCCTGCTGTGGATGGGGAGAGTTCAGGGATGCTCGTCAGCATCCAACCATGCCCAGAATGTTCCTCACCCCACTGAGTAATTTAGCCCCAAATATCAATTGGGCATAAAATGAGAAATCCAGCTTAGGGTGTGGGCCACAAAATTCTAGACCTTCACTGACAACGGATTATTTTCCAGTTGGCCACTAGAGGTCAGATCTAGCCTGGAAATAAATAGATGGATAGCCAGGCAGACAGACAGACAATGCTAGGAATTCTTGCCCTCAGCTAATGAAGGCCATCACAGACCCAAAAAAAAAAAAAAAAAAACTAGTGATGTAGTGATGCTGCTTTTCTGAATAATCATGTTGTCAAACAGCCTTCTACATGTTTATGTTTAGATGCTCCATTGATTTGTGCTATCTCAGCCTCGGTCAGAGAAGCTTCTCATTGCCGAGAGCATTAGTTAATGCAGAGACTCATCACTCTTCAAAGTGACCGGGTGCTCATCACTAGCAGGGACAGTCCATCAGCCCCACCCTGTAAGAGTGCAACAGTGAGAAATACTGTCCTCTGGGCGTGACATGGCCAGTGTGCTCACAGACCACAGCAGCTGTGGCTACTTACACACGATCAGGCCAGTGGGGTGGCGGGGAACCGCTATCTGAGGAACTATGGCAGCTGATGGCTGCTGGGGAAGGAAGGAGGGTCACTTTCCTTTGGGGTGTGACCAGTGGTAGGCTGCACATACATCAAAGAAAGGCCCCACACCTGTTCACAAATGGGCAGCACTGACCGGATTTGGGGGTTAGATAAAATACATATTTTATTAAACCCTTCAAAGCAGCCCCCACCTATCTCTCCTGTCCTGCTTCCTGTGCCAATACGAGCTAATCATGTCTCCTCTCCCTGTCCAATAAGAGCTAATCATGTCTCCTCTCCCTGTCTGCCCACGTTTGCCCCCTGACGGCCTCCCTGAGACCTGAGGGAAATGGTCCCTCAGGCTCCTGCTGAAATCGGCAACACTGTATTCCTTTGACCAGTCCCCTTCTTTGGTCACATTGCATTGTCTGAAGACCCGGAGGATGATCATTAGGAACGATGAGACTGGGTTCAATAAAAAGCGGAAGACCCTACCACCTGAAGCTGGAGCATCAAGCCTCAGGCACGGGTCTGTGTGCACAACCAGCTACTTGTAGACAGATATTTCGTGAGCAAATGCATGGTGGGAAAATGACCCACTGGGGAAGGCCCCGGGAAGTGCACCTCTGATTGCATATTTTAGGAAGAGCGTGTTAGTTAAGAATTTTCCCCACATTCATGCCCAGATTCCATTTCTCAGTGAAGGCATTTAATTGGAGAATTTGTGAAGCATCCAGTCTCAAGAGCTGCAGTTTACCACATGCAAACAAATAAAAATAAATAAATAAATGAAAGCCCCAGAAATCCCTGATTTTGGGCTTAGCACCCCCAACACTGACTGTACAGCCACAAGGGCCCTGTGGATGTCCCACGGCTGAGTCATACCTAGTGTCCTCGGCACCATTGCCTGAAGAGGTTTTTCTGTGAAAACAAAATTCATCACTTTGAAGACAGAGTTTCAACCAAAGGACCGTTTGACGCTGACACCCTGGAGGCAGCACTCCCTCCAAGAAAGAGCACTGTATGTTTGGGATGTGGTTTGACTCTGTTCCCCAAGGTTCACCTACTGGAGATGTGGTCCTTGGAGTGGTAATAAGAGGTAGTAGCAGGAGAGGAGTAGCAGGAGAGGACTGGGAAGCTCGTTACTGGCTCCTCCCTAGTCTAACCACTTCCTGTCTCATAATACCATACCCCTCCCACTCTGATGCCATCCCCTTTGATATATCACCAAAGCTGCCCAGATCCAAAACTGTGAGCTAAACCAATCTTTTCTTTCTTCATAATGTGTCCGGTCTCAGGCATTTCATCACAGTAACAGAAAGGAGACTAACACAAGTCCTGCCCATCACAGTGGGAAAGAACTATACTTTTCCTGAAGTGCGGGGAATCCAGGAAAAGTGAGAGGAAATGACTTCACCTACTGCTGTTCCCATGAACGTCAAACATGACGACACCTAACCATAAGCAACTCAGCCATCTCCCCAAGTCCAGCTTCACTGAAATCTTTACTGTTTAGTGAGTGTGTGTGTGTGTGTGTGTGTGTGCGCGTGCACGCACGCGCGCGCACAGGCCAAAGGGTATTCCTCTCATGCTGCCCACCTTCCGTGACAGAGACTCACTGGTCTGGAATTTGAAAGGCTGGCTGAGATGGCTAGCCCGGGGATCCTCTGCTATGGGATTACTAGCAAGTGCCACCACGCACGGCTCTTTTAACCTGAGGTCTAGGGACGGAACTCAGGTCCTCATGGCAGCACAGCAAACACTTTGCTAACTAAACCATCTCTCCAGCCCAGCATCCGGGACCCAGTTATGGCAGAAGATACTAGAAAGAAAAAAATAATAATAACATAATGGTTCTGGAGACAGAACTACTCATGGAAAGTAGACATAGAACAAACACATGAGAACTTTGTTCAATCCCAACATAGACTTTCTAGAGTGTTGCTGTGCTCTGGAAATGGAAAACTCCATCTAATTGGGGAGACTGGTGAGGCAGGGGAGAAAACTGATGAAGAATTTGAGGGAAGGAGACCAAGACAGGAAAGTACAGAAAAGCTCAGCAGCAGATATATTCAAAGCTCATGTTCTTGGAAACATCCGGAAGTTTCTGGAAGTATTTCTGGTTGTCATATCTGGGATAAGAGGTACTACTAGAATTGAGCAGTTGGGGACCAAGAATGTTGGTCAGCACCCTACAATGCACAGGGTGAGTCCCACCACAGTGGCCTGGATCCAAGCATGCAATGTCATAGTTGGGAGTCCCCGTGTGAGTCGTTCAGGCGTACAACCTTAAAATACAAGGAACAATTACAATAAGCCCTGGGGATCCATGAGACCTACATTCTTGGGTCCAACCCACCGTGGATCAAAACTGTTTGTAGACCTGTCAGACAAGCTGTGCCCACTAATGCAACTGTGGCATGAGCATTACAAGAGGTAACCAGCTGCTCTCAGGGAGCTGAGGCCTGCTCCACAGGAGGGCATTCCCATGATTGGGAGGTCATGGGCCCTAATGGGGGCCTACCACTGTTGCTAAATAACATATCGTCAGACTACCCTCAAAATGTTTATGTTTATGCACATAAACTAGTGCTGTCCTCAACCCTGGTCAGAGAAGCTTCTTTTTTACACTTGGCAGGGACTCACAGCTGATCAAAGTGCTGAGAGTGAGTGACTGCTGAGCACCCAGCCCTGCCTGGGAAGTCTGTACCAACCCCACTGCCGTGGCTCAGAGAACGAAATATGCAGCAGAACAGAGGGAAAAAGGATGTAGGACCCGGAGGATGGGGCGGAGTGCTGGGAAACGCTGTCCCCTAGACACGGCACAGGCAGCGCACTTACGGACTCAACGCAGCCGCGTCACCTGAACAAGACCCGCACAAGGTCAAGCCAAGGTCACTCGACATTCCAGCAGGCAGCACTAGCCGAGCTCAGTGAGTCATGAAAATAAAAAGAAGGAGGAAGAAGAGGACAGCAACATGGAGGAGGCAGACGTGTCGATGGGAGTATAGGGGGAAACTGAGGTCACTGTGATCAAGATACATGTATACACGTATGAAACTGGAAAGTTGTGTCACGGGGAACGCACAGGCTCTACTCTCGTTGTGGTGCCCGAGTCACACAATATGGTGTGACACTTATACAGTGCGTGCACTTCTGAAGATGTGACAAGTTATCTAAGGATGGTTTAATATGGGAAGGTGTACGGGGCTCTGTGCAGACAGCAAGACGTTTACGTAAGACACATGAGAATCCGTGGGTCACCCCCAGGATCCTGGAGCCAATCCACTGCGGACACCAAAGGTCAACTGCGGGTGTCCACTGTGCAGATGAGAAAACTGGGGCACGGAGCACCATGGCAACTTGCTCAAACTGGTACATCTAAGAGTGGAGAGCCCAAACAGACAGCTTCCAGAGTCCCCGCTATCAACTGCTCTGCCATTCTCTAAGACATGCACATGGGACGGGCCCGGATCCAGGCATGTCTGCTGCTGTTTTCAGCTCGAATCAGGCACAAGAAAAAGAAGAAACTTGTAACCCACAGGTGTGTGTGTGTGTGTGTGTGTGTGTGTGTGTGTGTGTGTGTGTGTGCGCGTGTGTGTGTGTATGTGTGTGTGTGTGCACATGCATGCATGTGTGCATGCACATGTGACCCACATGTGTGTTTGTATGTGTGTGTGTGCACATGCAGCATGTGTGCATGTACAAGTGACCCACAGGTGTGTGTGTGTGTGTGTGTGTGAAAGTATACATGTGTGAGCAACTGAGTGTGGATGTGAGTCCGAGGACAGCCTTGGCTGTAGTTCCTTAAATGCTGTCCCACTTTGCTCTTCACAACAGTCTCTCCTTGGCCCAGATGTTACTAGTTATGTTACTCGTTAGACCAGTCTGGCTGGTAGTAAGGCCCAGCGATCCCCCTGCCTCTGCCTCCCCAGTGCTGAGAATATTAGCATACACTTGGCTTTTTGGGGGTGGGGGAGTGTCTGGGGACAAAACTCAGTCCCTGTGCTTTTAAAGCAAAGACTTTCCTAACTGAGCCACCTCCCCAACAAACAAACTGTTTCTCCTCCAACCACCTCCCCACACACAGTCTCTGGAGCTCACTTCGCCTCAGTCCCTGAGTAATGGCGCCCTCTCCAACACCACGCTGAGAGACAGAAAGAGAGCCGGCCGGCCGGCCCATGCAAAGTCCTGACCTGGGGACAAAGACCACGTTGTGCAGGTAGTCCTCGAAGGTCTTCCTGAAGGAAGACTCCTCCAGCTCCTTCAGGATCTGAGAGTCAGTCTTCGGGCACGAGCAGCATTCACTGGCTGAGTCTTCGTATTCGCTCTGATTGTGCTTCTGAGAATCGTCAGATTCAAAAGGCGGGGACCAGGTCCGGGAGGGGAGCTTCAGCCCTAGGGAGAGGCAGAGCAGATGGCTCAAATCTCCCCCAGAACACACACACACCATACACACACACATGTAAACGCACATACACCTGACAGGAAGCACCCTCCACGCGCGCGCGCACACACACACACACACACACACACACACACACACACACACCGAGGCCCGAGGCCCACCCTGGGAGCCATTCCCCAGGCCACAGCCCGTCACTGCGGGTTCCAGGCAAACACTCTATCACAGGTCAGGTCTCCAGACGCCTCTCACTTTTCCAGACAGGGCTTCGCTGTGTTTCCTAGTCTGGCACTGTGCGCTCACTCTGCACCCTAGACTGGCCGGGCCTCTCATTCTTCCTCACCCTCCCAAAGAGTCAAACTCCAGTCTTCTGACACCAGGAGTTAGAAGTTGCTGTGTGTGTCTGCATTCTGTGTGTGTGTGTGTGTGTGTGTGTGTGTGTGTGTGTGTGTGTGTTTGTATTACCTGTATCTGTGTACTCTCACCATCTGGGTGAATACAGATGCCAGAGGTTGATATCACATCTTCTACGGTCATTTCTCCATCTTTTTTACTATTATTATTAAACTAATTTATAGGGGAGGTGAACAAGCCAAGGTGTGCATGTGGAGGTCAGAGGACAACTTTCTCCTTCCACCATGTGCATTCTGGGATTAAAGTCAGTCTGTAAGGCTTGGCAGCACACGCCTTTACCACGGATACATCTGCCAGTCCTCCATCTTATTTACTGAGACAGAGTCTCTCACTTAACTTGGACTTCCTGCCTTGCTAGCCTGGCTGGCCAGCACACTCCGGGGATCTGCCTGTCTCTGCCTCCCCAGAGTGATGGTTACAGATGCACGCCGCCACACCCAGCTTCTTTCTACATGGGTGTTGGGATCCAAACTCAGGCCCTTGTGCTTATACAGCAAACATTTTATCCAGCATCATTTCCTCAGCCCCGAATTTACCACAGTAAAAAGAAATCAATGGGTGGCACTAACAGAAAGCTACTACTGGTCATTTATTGTGTGTACTATTGAAATTAGGATTAAATAAACAAAATGTTACCACTGAAACCATGTGTTGGTATAGAGTGAGTGGCACTGTCTGTTTACAGGGCGGCACAATCATTGCTTCTACCCGTTTCCAGAACTTTCTCGTCTAACCAAACTGAAACCCTGTCCTCATTCAACACTGACTTCCAGTTCCTCCACACTCCGCCTTCATCCACATAAACTTGACTACTGTTAGGCCTCCCCATGGGATAAGCTCCTGTGGGCTGGCGAAATGGCTCCATGGGTAAGGTGACTGTCACTCAACCTTGAGGACCTGAGTTCGATCCCCAGCACCCACATAAGAACCAGACATAACAACACACATCTCACTCCCCTTACAGTGCTGGGAAAGTAGAGACAGGAGGATCCCTGGAACTCGCTGGCCAGCCAGGCTAGCCAAATCAGTAAGCATCGAATTCAGGGATACGCCTTGCCTCAAAAAATAAGGTGGAAAGCCACAGAGCAAGCCGCCAACATCAACCTCAAACACAGCCCTGTGTATGTCTCCAGCAGAGTGTGGATCTGTGTGTAATGTTTAAAAATGTGTATGTGAACACTGGGGAGATGGCCCAGTCAGACTCCAAACACACAACCAGAAATGTCTACGCCTTCACACAAACCTATACATGCATGTGCAAATAAATTCTGTGATGATCAAATATTTAAACATTTTCAAACAGTCCTGTCGTACTCATGGATTTAAAGTGGTTTTATGTTTGTTCTGAGACAGGGTCTCACATAGCTCTGAATGGTCTCAAGCTTGCTATGTAGGTAGGGATGATGTTAAACACCCAACCTTCCTGCCTCCTCCTCCCAAATGCTACAGTTACAGGCCTGTGCCACCACACGGGGTCTGTGTGCTGCTGAGGAGGGAGCCCTCCCTCCACCAACCATGCTACAGCCTCAGCCCTGAAAGTCTCCTGTGGTTAGCCCGGCATAGTAGGAAACACCTGTCATCGCAGCACTCCAGCAGTGGAGACAGGATGATCAGGGTCATCCTCGGGCTACACTGTGAGTGTGAGGCCAACCTGGGTCGCGTGAAACCTTGTTTAAGAACAAACAACAAAAACAAAATCAAACTTTTTTTTAAGTCGGTTTTTTTTTTCTTTTAAACAAAACAAAACAAACTAAAATTTTGGCGTTGCTGGAAGCATAGAGAGCAGGTGGTTTCGTATACTCAAATGCAGAGCCAACAGGTCAGAGCTGAGCCCAGGACTGGACTTGCTCTCGAGTTATATAAAGAATGCAAGGAGATAAATCAAGCTGGTGATCCTGGCCCGGGCAGGCATGATGTCACCGGCATGCATATACCACATGATCTTAGAGTTGGGACTGTTCCCAGGAATCATCTGTCCTCCGCCCCTTCTCCACAAAAGGAGACAGACTACTTGCTGTGTGACTTGGCCAAAACCAGATGCCAGGGCCGGGGTGGATCAGAGCACAGACCTCAGCCACACCTCTCCAGCAGCCCCCTTGGCCTGCTTCTGCAAGGTCACAGGCTAAGACACTGCTGGCTGAAAACGAATCAGAGACAAAGGCAACAACTAAGTGAACAGAACATTTTCACCTCCTCTGATCCGATGGCGGGTTGTGGTGTTTTGTTTTGTTTTGTTTTGTTTTGTTAATAAATTCAGTGTGTCTGTGGGGGGGGGGGCGGGGTGTCAGATGATAACTTTTGGCAGTGAGTCCTCTCTTTGTACCATGTAGGTCCTAGGGAGCAGACTCAGGTCATCAGGCTTGGCAGCAAGCGCCTCCATCCACTGAGCCAGCTTGCTGCCCTGTGAGGGTTCTGTTCTGATAACCCACTTTTAGATACACAATACAGTGACCATGAACGGCAGCTCCAGGACAGTCGATACGACTGCTACTCCGTAAGCTCGGTCCACTCTGCTTCTCCACTGTGCTTGTGCGCTCACACCTCAGCCACTGCAACCAGTGCTGAAAAGATTCCGAATGTTTCCACCACAGGGAAGGGGTGAAGACAGTCGCTATTCAGATTTTCTTTCTACACATTTTATATATGTCTGTGCACTGCGTGGTTCACAGCTGAATGAAACACTGAATGTGTTCCACCAATATATCTAGTCCTTGTTTGTCCTACAGGCCAGGGAACTGAACCCAGGGCTTTGAACATGCGGAAAGTGCTCGTCACACAGCGCTGTCTGGGATTTTCAGCAGCCTCCGAAATGTGGAGCCATGTGCAATGTCCAAAAATGTGTGTGTGTGTGTGTGTGTGTGTGTGTGTGTGTGTGTGTGTGCATGCACGCGCTCTGGGGAGATGGTGAGTGTGGGTCTGTGTCAGTGTCTAACGTGTGTGTGCACTAGAGAGATGGTAATTGCATTCACAGGCAATGCCTTAAAATGTGTCTGTGCACTGGGGAGATGGTGAGTGTGGATCCATGTGCAATGTTTAAAGATGTGTGTGAGCACTGGGGAGATGGTGAGTGTGGATCCATGTGCAATGTCTAAAGATGTCTGCGCACTGGGGAGATGGTGAGTGTGGATCCGTGTGCAATGTCTAAAGATGTGTACGCACTAGGGAGATGGCTCAGACAGAGACCTGAGTTTGATCCCCAGAACCCATGTGAAAAGCTGGTTGTGGTGGTGTATATTTGTAATCCCAGTGAGGTGGAAAAAGGTGGAATCTTGAGGGTCACTCATTAGCCAGATTAGCCTGCTTACCCAAACAGTGAAATACCCTGTCTCAAATAAAAATAAAAATCCACAAGGCAAGGGCTGGGCTATAGCTCAGGGGTAACACTTGCCTGGTACGCACGAGGCCCTGGGTTCAATGCACGGTACTGAAATCTTAAAAACAGAGGGGCTAGAGAGACGACTCGGCAGGTGAAGGAGCTTGCCCCCAGGCCTGATCACTTGAGTTTGATCCCTGGTACCCACGTGGCTGACAAGGCAACAGACTCGTGTGAGCTGTCCTCTGACCTCCACACATGCCACAGCACATGTGTGTCCACACAGAGAGAAACTAGGTAAATAAATAAATGGAATAAAATATTTTTAATTCAGAGAAAACATGGGATGGGGGTGTGGCTCTGGTGGTGTAATGTTAGCACCCACTCAGCCCTGGGCTTGAGTCTCTGGCCCTGCACAACTCGGCCTGGTGGTATAGTCCTGTAGCTCCAACACTCAGGAGGGAGAGACAGGAGGAGCAAAAAACCCAGTGTCTTCCTCAGCTAAACAGTGAGTTTAAGTCCACCGTGGTCTCTGTGAGAGCCTGTCTCAAAAACCAAGAAAAAATTTAAAAACAAGGTATACAGCATTCTTGGACATACACCCAAAGTTGTTCTGACCTCTACACATACATGCACACACACACAAGTGTGCCTTATGTGAGACAGAGTGGAGTATGAGTATGTGTGCACATGTATGTGTGTACATGTGCAGGCACCCTGGAAAACGGGAAAAGGGGCTTGTGTCCCCATGAGAGAACCGGGACACTGCCAACCCCATGACAACTGCCAGCGCTCACCTTTGAGACAATAATCCAACTCGGACAGCTCGCTGTCCTCGGCCTGCCTCTCCCAGTAGACCAGGTAGTGAGTGATGTTGCCGTTGGGGTCGGAGGGGGGCTTCCACTTTAAGATAATCTGAGAGGAGGAGTTAGAAACCGATATGGGGTCCAGGGGGACAGAAGGATCTGTAAAGGAGAAAAGAAACAAGCTGCCGTGAGGGAGAGTGTGTGAGCTGTCGGGTGCCCCTGAGCAGTGGGAAGTGGCCCAGCTGAATCCACAGCTTTGTTGGCTGGAGTTCTTGAACATCAGAGAAAAGCAGACATGGTTAAATGCTCGCCCAGCCCGGGCAGGAGTGACTGTCCGTCCATTCATGCTGTGGATTATGTGCCCACCATGTGTCATTTACTCCACAGACTTTGGCTCTGACAGATGCCAAAGCTCTTGCTGTTGTGGGCACTAGAAAGATGTTCCTGGGGCCAAAAGAGAATCGACGGAAGAGATGAATTTTGGTTAACATGGGCACAAAAATCAAACCCAGTCACTGAAAGCACTTGAAATCATTGAACTGTATCTGTTTGTTTTTAAGACAGGCTGTCATGTAGCCCAGGCTAGCCTCAAACTTGATAAGGTAGCCAAGGATGTGCTTGAACTCCGGATCCTCCTACCTACCTCCTATATGCTGGGAAGAAAGACATGCACCACCATACCTGGTTTATGTGGTTCTGGGGATTTAACCTAGGGCTTCATACAAGCTGGGCAAGCACTCTACCAACCAAGCCACATACCCAGATGGTGCTACTCGGCTGTCCTGCAACAGCCTTCAGGTCACCCTAAACTCTCCCTCTGAAGAACGGTGCTACCTGAGGCGAGGGAGATGGCCCAATGGTAAAGCACTTGCCACAGAAGCATAAGGACAGTTCAGATCCGCAGCACCCACAGAAGCGCCCAGCAGCGAGGGCTGTAGCAGCCTACCTATAACCCAGCAGCCAGAGGCAGAGATCAGCAAGCCCTGGCTTCGTTGAGAGGCCCTGCCACAATACATAAGGTAGAAAACAACTGAGGAAGACTCCAACGTCGACCTCCGGCATATGCCACACACAGAATGTTGGAGGCTGAGAGAGTTGGAGAGGAAGGGCACGGAGCTCTCAAGGCAAAAGCAAAAAGTGTGCAAAGACCAGGAAGGTAGAAGTTTCTGGGAACTAATCTCGGTAGATGCAAGGTGAGAGCTTCTAGTGAAGTGTCTGGTGAGGAAGCTGGAGCAGCAGAGCCTGTGAGCTGTGAGGGGCTGCTTACTCTGTGCATGTGACATGTGGGGCAGACAACTCCCTGTCAGCCACTCCTCTTCCCAGCTGTGACCGGACATTGCCAGGCGTCCTCCCTTCCTTGGGAGGCACAGAATTTTCCCTACTTGAAGACTACTTAGCTAAGAAGAGGAGTTAATCCTGGCAGAAAAATAACTAAGTTGCTATGAGACACTACACCCTAAAGAAAAAAGATAGAAAACTAAAGGTCGGGGGAGACGAGAGTGAAATTACACCATGTGGAGGCGAGGCGCTCACACGAAGGCACTCTCTCCATGTTAGACAAGATTACACCTTGTAGAAGCGAGGCGCGCACACGGAGGCATTATTTTCATGTTTGAAGTTTTCGTGACAGCATAGAGAAAGCATGCAGCAGTCCCCTTGTCTACGTGGCACATTTCATAGCTGCAGTGGCTATCTGAAACCACATGCAGCACTGAACCATCAGTTCCCCCATATGATAAACTTCATTCATAACTAACAGAAAATAACAACAGCCATAATAAAACAGGACAAGTAAAGTAACAGACAGTAAGAGAAGCTTCTTTCGTGGTTATTTCCTGCGAGTTTCTCCTTGGTTTGGATGTGTTTGCGCTAAATCTCACACAGTCCAGTTGGCGTCAAACCTAATACATAGATAGAGAAGACCCTGAGTTCCCGATCCACCTGCCTGCATCTCCCAAGCATTTCACTATTACTTTGTGCTGTGTTGAGGTTGTAAGAAGGTTTTGATGTGTAGCCCAGCCCGGCCTCAAACACAGCAATTCTCTTGCCTCAGCATCCCAAGTGATAAGACTACAGGTGTGTATAACCAGGTCTAGCTCTCGTTTTTTTAATTATTTGCTGATTGACAGCTCTCACTGTGTGGCCCAGGATGGCCTAGAAGTCACTACTTAGACCAGGCTGGGCTTGAACTCACAGACATCCGTCTACCTCTGCCTCTCAAGGGCAAGATTAAAGGTGGGCACCACCATGCTCTGCCTCTCCCTCCCCGTGACAGATGTCGAAGACAGTCTTGTGCAGGTAATCACAGCTGGTCTGAGTTCAAGAAGGTATGTGCTACATGTGTTTGGTGTTATATGTGTATGTGCATGTTATATGTATGTACACGTTTTCTGTGTATATATGTACATGCATGTGTTTATGTGTGTGCATGTGTGGTGTGTGTGCATGTGTACTAATGTGCATGTACATGTATGTCATATGTGGTGTGTGAGCACATTATATGTGGTGGTTATACACATATATGTGTGTTACATGTGGTGTCTATGTGAGTGTTACATGCAGTATGTGTGTGTGTTATATGTGGTGCCTGTGCGTGTGTGTTATATGTGATATGTGAGCATTTACATGAGATAGATAGGTGTGCATGTGTGAACATGTGTTACATATAGTATTGTGTTATATGTGCTGTGTGTGTGTTAATTGTAGTGTGTGTGTTATTATGTGAAGTGTGTATGTGTGCATGTGTGTGTTAGATGTGTAGTGTCTGTGCACATGCTGAGGTCAGAGGAGGAAGTCAGGCACCTTATTCTATCACTGTCTACCTTCTCTCTCAAAACAGGATCCTGGGGTTACAGGCATGCACATGGTCACCCCTGGGCCACAGTGCTTTGGGGTTACAGACATGCACATGGTCACCCCTGACGCCCAGGACTCTGAGGCATGAACGTGGCCATACCCAGCGTTCCATGTCATTGATGGGAACAGCACACAATCTTGCTCACTGAACCATCTTCCCAGCCCAAGCGTGAACTCCTGAACTCTGAGGTAGTTCATGGCTACCAGGTTATCCTCTGAAAATATAAGCCTCAGCCCTTAGCTCCTCCAGACGCCGACCACAGAAGAAAGCCTGTCACAGGACATCACCAAATTGCCTACCAAAGGCCAGAGAGTCAGTTCCACAGCAAACCCATATTCACAGGACACACTTACTGGTGGCATCTGTCTGCACGTAGATGATGTCACTTTTGGCTCCGTAGGTCCGGCGCTCATCAGAGAAGGTAACCAAGGTCTTGACAAAGATGGCATACTGAGTCCAGGGCTTGAGGCCTCGCATGAGCCACCCAGGGTGGCTCGGGGTCTGAGACTTGGGGTCGTTGGACCTCTGGGGAGGGTCAATATCGACCACAGTCCAGCTATTGGAGCCACAAGCATCCTGTCCATCAAACTCCGTCACGTTCTGATAAGGGCTTTGAAAAACAAGAGGGGGAGGTAAGCTGCCACTGTGTAGATGTCAATCGAAGCACTAAGTAGAGTGGGGGCCTTGGAGGGTCACGAGATAGAGGCTCCCTTCTTTCCTCTTTGGTTTGGTGTGCGTGTGTGCATGTGTGTGTGTGCGTGTGCGTGTGTGTGTGTGTGTGTGTGTGTGTGTGTGTGTGTGTGTGTAATGCACGTTATAAGTGTATGTGCATGGACCTGGAGGATACCATCAGGTGCCATCTATCTTGTTTTTTGTTTTTTGTTTTGTTTTGTTTTTCTTGTTGAGACAGACTCCAGTCCTGGCTGTCCTCAAACTCACAGAAGTCTGCCGGCCTCTTGTCTCCTCAGTGTTGGGATTAATGACATTCACACTTGATTCCAACCTTGTGTTTTGAGACAGAGTGATCATGTCTGGCCTGAAATTCACCTCATAGGCTAGGCTAACTAGCCAGAGACCCCAAAGATCTGCCCATTTCTGCTTCCTCAGAGATGGGATTTCAAGTACATTCCAAAATTCATGGCTTTCTGAAAAGTGTGAATGTGTATCCGAGTGTGTGTAATTGTATGCATGTGCCTTCGGGGGCCAGAAGAGAACACTGGATAATGGGTAGGAGAGCTGTGAAATGCTGACTTCTGGACATGGTATGGCTGCTGCACACATCACTCAGACCAGCTGTGGTTGCCTGTACCAGTCAACATTCCAGCATGGGTGGTGGAGTAGCTGCTAAGGGAGTCTAAGTCACTCCCCTTTGGGAACATGGACACTGGTAGGTTGCTCAGTCTCCGGCGGATAGCTCCACACGCATGCACAGGTGGGCAGCACTAACCGGATTCAGGTTAGTGAATTGCCAACACCAGAGAGGACATGAAGATAGGAGGGCAATGGAGTGGACACACCAGTGCATGTTGGAGGAAGAAAGTGGTGGATGGATATGATCAAAATACACTGCATAAATATAAAAGAAACTTAAAACCATACACTTAGAATAGTATCTAATTTTAAAGGAGAGTGTGAACTGAGCACCAGTTCATCTCTCCACATCCTGACTGTGGATGCAATGTATCCAGCTGATTCATGCTACCATGACATCCCCACCACACAAGCTGTGAGTCAAGACAAATCCTCCCTAAGGGCTGTGTCTGTCCCTGCAACAAGGAGCACAATGAATAGTCCACCTCCTTTGACTTACGCCTCTTTGTAGAAGAGCATGAATCCCAGGAGGTCTCGGAAGTCGGGGGGCCAGTAGGGCTCCCACCTCAGCAAGATCTTGTCAAAAGATGTCCGAATGAAAGAAAATTTAAGTAACTCATTTTCACCTAGAAAAGTTCAAGAGGGAAAAAAAAAAAGTCAGGCAATTGGTAATTCGCTTCAGAGCAATGTATTCAACCTCCCGCTTCTTGGAGGGATTCGAATGAGGGATGGAGGGAGACGACCTAGTTTCATTTTGTAATATAATACTGGGACAAAAAGCAACTCGAGGGAGAAGAGTTGTTTGGCTACAATTCCAGGTCAGAATCTATCATTTCAGGGGAATCAGGCAGGAACTCAAGCCGTCAGTCACAGCTCATCATCCACCAATAGCAGAGAGAGATGAACGCATGGGTGATGCCTGCTTGCTGCCTATACTTAGCAAGCTTTCTCTACTCTCACACTGTTCAAGATCCAGTCCATAAAATGGCTCTTCTCACCTCAACTAACAGTCAAAACAAACCCCAAGCCAGCAAAGCCTCCTTGATGAGCTCCAGGCCAGCGAAAAACCACCAAAATGACCAACCATCAACCAAGAAAATGCTCCACAGACATGCCTACAGGCCAACCTGATCTGGACAGTTCCTCCGTTACAATTATCTTTTTGCAGGCGATTCTAGATTGTGTCAAGCTGAAAATTAAAACGGGGGGGGGGGGTGTATATAATCTGCTTACATGGGTCTCACCCACAAAAGCAGAGAACTGGTCTTCCTGAGTTTGAAAGGTAGGAAGGAAGTGAGCAGATCAATTAGGTGTTGAAGACTCAACCAAATAAGATGCTCAAGTAACTCGTGGATGATCCATGCCAATGTAAAAAGGACACCTAGTCAGCCATGTTTGAGGTCTTTTTTATGTGTATGTGTGCATGTTTATGCATGCTCATGTATGTGCAGGTATGATGGCTAATCTTGGTTGTCAACTTGACATACCTGGGAAGAGGGACCCTCAATTGAAGAACTTCCTCCATCAGACTGGCCTATGGTCATATCTGTGAAACTTTTTTTTGGATTGATGATTGATGTGAAGGGCCCAGCCCACTGTGGACAGAGCCATCCCTAGGTAGGTGGCCTTGGACTATATAAGAAAATTAGTTGACAACAAACAGCACTCTTCCATAGTCTCTGCTTCAGTTCCTGCCTTGGGTTCTTGCCTTGACCTCCCTGAATGATGGGTTGTGCCTTAGAAATATAAGATAAAATAGACACTTTCTCCCCCAAGATGCTTTTCGTCAGAGCAACAGAACCATCTCTCCAGCCCCAAACTTCACCTTGTCATTGCTTTCCAGGTGACCGAGACTGCCGCAGATGTCATCAACCTTGACACCCTCAGCATAGTTTTATGTTTATGCGGCATCACACACTGTGCTTTGTGCAACTGACTCACATGAGACACATAAGGCCTGCCTCTTGCGGGCTGGGAAGACAGTTTACTTGGGCTTTGTAAGGCTGAGGACCTGAGTTTCACCCCCAGAACCCTCATTTAAAAAAAGGAAAAAAAAAAAAAAACCTCCAGTCGTCACAGCTGTGGTGGTTTGAATGAGAACGGCCCCCACAGGCTCGTAGGATTGAATGCCTGGTCCCCAGTTAGTGAAACAGGGGAGTCCCTGCATGGAGGCCAGGCCAGGCCATTGTGTGGAGCTGTGAGGATGAAGTCTAAATGGCACTGGAGACCCCAAGATGTTGGAGATGCTAGAACCATGGGACATCTGCCCGAGAGAGAGAAGTGTGCTGCGTTCAGCAAAGCTGCAAAGGAAGAGCCATCTAACACAGAGTTTGGAGTTTGCCCAGCCGGTTTTCAGGCTTGCTTTGGTCCCGTATTTCCTCACTATGCTCCCTTTCTTCCCTTTTGGAATGGTAAGGATATCCTCTGCCTCTGTATGTTGCAAGTATGTGATATGCTTTTTTATTTTGATTTTACAGGGGGTTATATTTCAGAGACTGCCTTGAGTCTCAGGAGAGACTTCGGATTTTTAAACAGAGTTGAGACTGTGGAAAACCATAGAGGCTTTTGATTTGCATTATGATATGGCTTCAAACCTATGGGGGACAGGAAGTGGAATATGATGGTTTGAATAAGAATGGCCCCTATAGGCTCATATGTTTGAATGCTTGGTCCCCAGTGGAAATATTTGGGAAGGATTAGGAGGCGTGGCCTTGTTGGAGGAGGTGTGTCATGGGATGGGGGTTTGAGGTTAAAAAGCCCATGCCAGGCCTACTTTCTCTCTCCTCTCTACTGCTGCCGATGGGTCAGGATGTAAGCTCTCAGCCCCATGCTTGCCTGTCTGCCCCCATGCTCCCCACCATGATGATAATGGACTGAGCTTCTGAAGCTGCAAGCCAGCCCCCAATTAAACGCTTCCCTTTACAAGAACTGCCTTGGTCATGTGTCTCTTCACAGCGATAGGACACTGACTAAGACAGTGATGTACACTCCTAACCCAGCACTGAAAAAGTCGGAAAGACGGATCCTGTGGTTCTCTGCAGCCCACAAAGTCTATTGGTGCGCTCCGGGCAGCAAGAAACCCTATCTACTAAAAAAGAAAAACAGTGGCTGATGCCTAGGGAATGACAGCTGAGGTCCTCTGTCCTCCACAGATGTGTGTGTGCACGCGCGCGCGCGCGCGCGCGCGTGCACACACACACACACACACACATATCTGTACACAGACATGTATGCACGTGTGCGCACACACACACACATATCTGTACAGACATGTATGCACGTGTGCGCGCACACACACACATATCTGTACACAGACATGTATGCACACGCGCGCACACACGCGCGCGCACACACATGCGCACACACACACATACACACACACATACACACCTGTACACAGACATGCACATGTGCGCACGCACACACACACACCTGTACACAGACATGCATGCATACACACACACACACACACACACACACACACACACGTGCGCGCGCACATACACACATGCACATACATACACACAACTGCCTTTGTTATTTTAAAATTCCTCTCACAGAAAGCTGTAGCTCAACAAAGGACAATGGCACTTTCCTGGGGGCTGGGACAGTGGCTGGCAGAGGGCAGGCACTGGGGACAGAAGGATGAATGGACTTACAGGATGCCTGGTCCCCATTGGTCTTCAGGGCAATGTCGTTCTTCTCCTGGCGGCCCTTAGTTCCGGAAACTTCTTCCATCTTGTGAATCTCCGACAAGCAGAGTTTGGGGTTGTAGTGGAAGAAGAGCTTGCCCTGAGTGATGGTGAGGTTGTGTTTGCTCCAGTCCCAGAGCTGCCTGAGGTTCTGGTTGTCCAAGGCGTAGAAAGAATAGTTCCTACAGAGACACACATACACTGCCAGTCACTCCCCAGCCCATCTTCTTCTATTCCAAGATGGCGGGGGCCACAAAGCACACTCAATGGGTTGTAATTTTGTTTAAAAAAAAAAAAAAAGAAGAAATGAACTTGAGAGGGAGTCGGGGTGGGGTGGGTCTATGAGGAGAAAGAGGGAGGTGTAAGGGCTGGTTGTGATAAAAAAAAAATACACTATATGTGTATAAGAAATTCTCAAAAATGTTAAATATCATAGTTAAGTAAAATGAAAAACTAGGTAACGAGGGCCATGCCTGGAGGTGACCCTCTTCGGTGCTAAAGGCCTAGTTCTAGCCACGTGTTTAGCACAGACTCAAAAATTATCTTTGGGACTGTGGAGAACAAGGAAGTTGACAAGTCTTCATGGCCAGGAATATGAAGAACACTCTCCTAGCATCCCCCAGTGAGGGACTAGGGGTGTGGCTCAGGGGTAGAGCCTCTGCCTAGAATCCCCCAGTGAGGGGCTGGACTGTGGGTCATGGGGTGAGTGCTTGCCTAGCATGCACCAGGCACCAGATTTAACTCCCAATATGACAAAATAAGGGAGAAGAAAAGGAGCTGAAGAAGAAAGAGGAGGCAAAGACAGAGGAAGAGGAAGATGTAGCATGAATCTGGCCAACTTCTCAGCTGATCTTGTCTCCTCAGACTGGAAGCCTCTGTGTCCTCATATCCAAATGGTTCTCAGCTGAACTGTGCTGCTCAAAACCTAAAAGCTTAACCAGCCAAATTCTTCTAGTTTCTGGTCCTCATACCTTATATATCTTTCTGCCTTCTACCATCACTCCCTGGGATTAAAGACTCACTTTCTGGGATTAAAGGCGTGTGTCACCATGCCTGGCTGTTTCCAATGTGGCCTTGAACTCACAGAGATCCAGAGGGATTTCTACCTCTGGAGTGCTAGGATTAAAGGTTTGAGTGCCACCATTTTCTAGCCTTTGTATCTAGTGGCTGTTCTGTCTCTGACCCCAGATAAGTTTATTAGGGTGCACAATATTTTGGGGAACACAATACCACAGGAAGAGGTAGAGGGGAAGCGGAGGTGAGGGTCAGACTGGGTTTTGGATGGGGATGGGGGGCTGTGACCCAGGTCTGACAATAAAAATAGAAACAGAAATCAAGTTTGGCGACAAAAAGTATGGAAGTTTTCAAGCATGTTTGGTTTGGTTTTGTGTTGTGCTCCTGTCTGTCTGTCTGTCTGTCTGTCTGTCTGTTTTTAAATGGTTTTGAGACACGGTCTCACTCTGTAGCCTGGGCTGGACTTAGAAATCACTGCACAGACCAGGCCAGGCTGGCCTTGAGATTAGCCTGCTTCCACCTCCCAGGTGCCCAGCTGGGTAGCTCTGCTTTACGACACAGCGTGGACCGGCAGAGCCACCCAGAGTGGCCTTCCGCCCCTTTCCCTAGTTGCTGTTCCTTTGACAGCTGCAGGACTGGAGACAAGGCACCCGTCTGTGCCCTGAGAAACACAGAATCTAACTTCTCCATTGCATTTCTCAATGATCCTCGTGCTCATGAGTCCACCTCTACTTTTCAGAGCACCACACGCTGGATTTGTTTGGTTGATCAGCCTAAGCGGGGTCTGTGGGATGTGGAGAGTCCCAGAAACAAGGACGGATAATGTGTCAGAAGGGCACTTGCTGTGCCTGACGCTTCCAGAGGTCACCTGGGCCAAGCTACAGAGACAGGCTTGGGGTGGTGGGGAAGAAGAGAATCAGGACTCAGTATTTCGGCTTATGTAGAGCGAGATCCCAAGACTCGGGCCATGACTGGGAGCCCACACTCCAGCTCAGAAAATGAATGGGGACTGAGAGGGAAATGAGAAAGGACACCCGGGTGGCTGGGAGGAAGCCTGGAGGAGGTGGAATTCCAGGGGCCAGGAAAGATGAACATCTCAACGCAGGTGCAGTCTCCATTAAGACGCTGGTGAAAAAAGTTCCTGGGGGGAGGGAGGCGGGGACACCATGGACATAACACCTGATGTTGAACCGTCTACAGGGCTGATTAGTTGATTAAAATTTTAATAACTGTGGAGAGGTTGGAGTGTTGCAGGTCCAAAGCCTAACTACGATTTATCCTGGTCTGCCTTTAACCCCTTAACGGCCACTCCTTGCCCACCTCTGAGCCTGACTAACGTCCTCGTGACTGGCATGTAAACCTTTTGGAATGTACTAGCACATCGGACCATTAGCTTCCATCAATCAAAGACCAAGAATGTCATCAGATGACATCTGAACAGAGACTTCCTGGTTTATTGCTACTCATCTCTTCAATGTTTCTACCACTGTCCTTTCAAAGTGCCTTGGTTTGTGACTTTGTATTCTATTACTATAAAAACTGCATGAGATTGTCACTACACTGGAATATGTAGTTTGGGATTACCTTTATCAGTGTTCCTGGGCCATGCTACTAATAATTGACTCGAAAATAAATTCTCTCTTACCCCTCCGAGGTCAGAGTAGGAGTTTTGTATTAACAGAACCAATAAGTTTTCAAACATGGCTGTGACCGGGTATTTATCACACTCCATCCTCAGAGCAGCTCTGACAGATGCACACGCCATTAGCAAACCCCAGCCAGCACCCTCTGGTTCCCCCAGGAAGACTGTAGAGTAGACTTTGTATTTCTCGGCTAGATGAGGATCAGGAATGTCACAGGGACTAACACCTAAAAGACACTTCGTTTTGGCTCAGCTGGGTTTTCAAAAAGTCCTGGGCTGGAGAGATGGCTCAGCAGTTAAGAGCACTGGCTGCTCTTCCAGAGGTCCTGAGTTCAATTCCCAGCAACCACATGGTGGCTCACAACCATCTGTAATGAGATCTGGTGCCCTCTTCTGGCCTGCAGACATACATGCAGACAGAACACTGTATACATAGTAAATAAATAAATCTTTAAAAAAAAAAGTCCTAAATTTTGAGTGTGTGTGAATGTGTCTGTGTGTATGCGTCTGTGCGTGCACCCACACATGCATGGCTACGTTTACATGTATGTGCTCCTGAGTGTGGAGGACGGAGGAAAACCTGGCTGCCATCCCTCATGCCTCCTCCACCGTAGTTTTCTGAGCCAGGGTCTCTCACTGGCCTCCAACCTGATAAGAAGGTGAGGATTGGCTGGCCAGGAGTCCCAGGGGTCCACCTGTCTTGGGTCCCCAACACTAGTAGCCCCCCTTTTTAAACTTGGGGTCAAATTCAGGTCTTAATGTCGCAAAGTAAGCAGTTTATCTGGTGAGCCATCTTCCCTCCCCCCATGCTGCCTCCTCATGCCTAACTTCCTTGGTTGGCAGCCACAAACACAGCCAGGTGCACATACCCGATTTCCAAGGTCTCCCCTCGAATCAGATGTAGCTTCCGGAAGAAAGAAAGTGATACTAGAGCATAGGAGCGCCGGATTTTTAGGAACCCTGAGATTTCTTCAATGAGGCCAAGGTTAGCCTCCAGCTCAGCTGCCAGGTTGTCTACAAAAAGGAGGAAGCACCCATGAGAGACTGCAGGAATTTTTATCCAGCCC